ACACCCAGCCTCCTGGGCTACTTCTTACATCAAACCATAACAGGTTAAATTCCATTCTCAGCATCCCATCCCCACACAAACATGAAAAGCCAAAACCAAATACTGCAGTTGTGTCTTGGGGAGAGGCATTTCAGGAACTTGGATTCTGAAAAGAAATGGATGTCTCCAGAAGCCACTGGTCAGCCCATTGCTAACAGCCAGGGCTGACTTCATCCCGCGCTGTTACCACTGGATGGGGGTCTTGTCAATTTGTGTTATGTGAATCATGTTAAAGATGCTTTTAAGATAAAACAGATTTTTGTTTTTTAATGCAACGGTGAATGCAGAGACTCTTGCTGTCCCGGATGCAGAAATAAGAGAGGTATGTGGTCCCAGGTCTAAAAACTTCAGTTACTGCATCCCATCTACGGCTCTGTGAACACTGAGGAAGAGGAGGAGCAAAGGGAGTAAGAAGGGAAAGAGGAGGAGGGGCTGAGACCTGCCACTCTCCAGACTCCATACAGATGTTGTAATCAGTAACCAACAGCAGCTGTGCTGACCTGCATTGACCTCACACTAGACCACAGTCAGTCTAGGAAAGGCAAAGGCTCACAGGGCCCCGCCCTTAACCTCTCAAATGTTGTCTAGGGACGGATTGCAGGAGAAAAATCACTGCCTTTAGCTGCAGTCCTCTGCTCAGCCCAGCGGGCTCCAACAGACAGCTACAAAACCACTGTCTGACAGATGGCCCTGGTTAATCTCAGGGGATCCCACACAAAATTAATAGACAGGAACATAATTGACACATTTGTTTGAAATGTGGACCAGGATAGTGGAGAGGCAGGAGGGAGGTGTGCAGGCAGAAACACGCTCTGACTGTGAATGCACACGTACATCTGTGCGTGAGTGTAAAATCTTTCCTTCTTTCCTTCTCTCTCTCTCTTTTTTCTTTTGTGTGACATAGTTTCTCTTTGTAACTCTGGCAGTCCTGGAACTAGCTTTTAAATAGCAAACCAGGATGGCCTTGAAGCCCCAGAGATTAGCCAGTCTGTTCCTCAGGAATTCTTGGATTGAAGGCATTTGCCATCATCCTGAGCTCAGAAAATTTTTAAAAAAGGAATGTGTCAATCCGTAATTTCTTTTTGACTGTTATCATTATCTGGTGGTTTAACTTATTTATCAATCTATTAATTTTTTTTCAAAATAGTGTTTCTCTGTGTAACAGCCCTGGTTTGTCCGTAACTCACTTTGAAGACCAGGCTGGCCTGGAAATCACTGAGATCCACTTACCTCTGTGTGGTGATGTCTTGCTTCTAAAAGTAAAGCCTGTCTGGGGGTCAGAGAATGGAACTTGCCACTAGCTAGCCAGAGAGGTCTGTCTCTACAATGTGGAGTGAACTTACCACGCTCAGCTCCTCATCTGGCATAATATCTGTGAGTACTAAGATTCACGAAGTCTTTCGTTTTTGTGTCAAGAACTGTTTTTTAATTTAATTTTCTATTTTAAAATTTCTCTTTTCATTTTACATACCATCTCCAGTTCCCCTTCTCCTGCCCCCACCCCCACCTTCTCCCACCCTACCCTCCATCCACTCCTCAGCGAGGGTAAGGCCTTCCTTGGGGAGTCAACAAAGTCTGGTATTCCAAGTTGAGGCAAGACCACGCCCACTCCCCTCAGGCTTCAAGGCTGAGGAGGGTATCCCTCCATAAAGAATGGGCTCTAAAAAGTCAGTTCAAGCACCCAGGATAAGTACTGGTCCCACTGCCGGTGTGGGGGTGTGGGAACAAACAGATCAGGCCATGTCACTGTCACCCACATTCAGAGGGCCTAGTTTGGTCCCATGCAGGTTCCCCAGCTGTCATTCCAGAGTCTGTGAGCTCTGCTGCTTTTCCAGCCACCTCTGTGGTTTTCCCCTTTCTGATCTTGACTCCTTTGCTCATATAATCCCTCCTCCCTCTCTTCAACTGCACTCCAGTAGCTCGGCCCAGTGCTTGGCTGTGGATCACTGCGTCTGCTTCCGTCAGTTGCTAAATGAAGGTGATATTATGATAATTAGGGTAGTCACTAGTCAGATTACAGGGGAAGGACAGTTCAGGCACCCTCTCCACTATTGTTAGGGGTCTTAGCTGGTGTCATCATTGTGGATTCCTGGGAATTTCCCTTGGACCAGGTTTGCCCCTAACCCCATAATGGCTCCCTTTGTCAAGGTATCTTTTTCATTGCGTTCCCTCTCCACCCCTCCCTCAACTCGGCCATCTTGATCCCTCATGTTCCCACCCCCCCTTCTACTCTCCTTCCAGTTTACCCAGGAGATCTTGTGTGACATAGTTTCTCTTTGTAACTCTGGCAGTCCTGGAACTAGCTTATAAATAGCAAACCAGGATGGCCTAGAAGCCCCAGAGATTAGCAGTCTGTTCCTCAGGAATTCTTGAATTGAAGGCATTTGCCAGGGTCCTTCCAGGGTCCTTCCAGGGTCCTTCCAGGGTCCTCCATGTATTTCCCTCTTAGGGTCTTCCTTTTTCACTTAGCTTCTCTGGTTATCCTTTGCTTTATTTATAATATCCACTTATGAGTGAGCACATACGATGTTTGTCTTTTTGAGTTTGGGTTATCTCGCTCAGGACATTTTTTCCCTAGTTCCCATTATTTGCCTGCAAATTTAAGATGCCATTTTTTTTTTTTTTACTTCTGAGTAATATTCCACTGTGTAAATGTAGCACATTTTCCTTATCCATTCTTTGGTTGAAGGGCATCTAGGTTGTTTCCAGGTTCTGGCTACTATGAATAATGCTTCCATGAACATAGTTGAGCAAATGTCCTTGTGGTATGGTTGTGCATCCTTTGGGTATATGCCCAAGCGTGGCATTGCTGGGTCTTGAATTAGATTGATTCCCAATTTTCTGAGAAACTGCCGTACTGATTTCCAATATGGCTGGACAAGTTTGCACTCCCACCGGCAACGGAGGAGTGTTCCCCTTATTCTACATCCTGCCCAGCATAAGCTGTCATCGGTGTTTTTGATCTTAGCCATTCTGACAGGTGTGAGATGGTATCGCAGAGTCGTTTTGATTTGTATTTCCCTGGTGAGTCGGGATGTTGAGTTCCGGGAAGTGGGCATGGGTGGTAGAATCGAGGTGATATGAAGTTAGAGACTGGGAATCCTGGGGCTGAATGGTTCAAGTAAGTAGCGGAGTGATTGGGAGGTCAACTCAAATGAAGAAGCTACCTGGGAACCTATCATTTTGCAACTCAAGTAGAAAAAAATCTATAATGAGAGAGGATAGTTAGAAGGGAATATAATAGAACACATGTTGTTGTTGGGTCTGAGAGCATCAAACTATGCAAGCAGGTACAAGAGTCTACCCAAAGCCAAGAATTCTATTGAGTTGAGCACCAAAAACTGACCAGACAGTGACAATAGTACAAACTTTGGAGCTGACTGCATCCCTGGACGTTCAGCAAGTAATTTAATCACAAAATCCACAACATCTGTGCCAAGTGACAGTTACATTTTACACCCACCAGGACTTAGAGATTAGTGGCTTTCCCTATGTGTTTCATCATGGTCAACAGAAAAAGATGGCAGTTTTCGTGTCTAACCAATCAGAATAATTTGCGCTTTGTGTTGTTAGGAGCAGCCTTAATATTTTAGAGAACTAAAGACGTATAAGAGATGATTTCTATGGTTTAGGCAGGAGGCTGGTCAGCTATGGGGAAGTCCCAGCTTCTCTAGGGCTTGGGAAAGTGAACTTTGTTTCATCCTACAGGTAAAATGGACCAAGTCAAAATGACAGTACTTAGAACAAGGTACTTCTGCTTGTTCCCAACAATATAATATACAACAATGGGGGATTGGATAATGCATGCTGAATAATTGGGGTGGGGCAGGAAGAAAAGAGGAAGAGTGGGGGGTATGGTTGTTGTTTCTTTTCCCAGAGTTTCTCTGTAGCTTTGGAGCTTGTCCTGGGACAAGCTCTGGAGACCAGTCTGGCTTCAGTCTCCCAGAGATCCATTGCTTCTGCTGGGATTAAAGGCGTGCGCCACCACTGCCTGTCAGGCTTGGTTGTTTTAATAGGAATAGTCCCCATAGACCCATGTGTTTGAACACTTACAGGGAGTGGCAGGCGCCACTAGGAGGCGTGCTTGAGTTACAGTTAAGCATGTACACATAAGTGTACTAACATTGGATGACGTATGCTGACTGTTTAACTGGGGATGGAGCAGTAAGAAAGGAGGTAGGGTATGAGAGTTAGCCCAAAGGAAAGATGTATGAAAAAGCCTCATGAAATCCCACTGTCTTACAGGTTAATTTAAAACTCTGAACAAAGGTTTCCCACACGGGGGACTGATGCTTCTCCCAGACACCGGGGCTAGTAAGCCAAACTCTTTGTACCAGGTACTGGTTCTCTGCCTAGGACTTACTGGTCAGGGAGGCCCATGAGGTA